AGCACAACAGAACTCAGCGCCAGTGTGGCGCTCTGTCGCTGTTACACAACCTGTCTATTTTGTGGCGTTCTTTGTCACAGTTTTGCTTAGAGCTTCCGGTGGCGATGTGATCTGGTTCTTTTCCAACATGTGAGCTCACCTCAATTGATCTATGGTCTCATATATTTGGACCTATATTAAACCAGCGATTCGAGTAGTCTCAATTACCATCTACAAGAGTCGCAACATCAAGCCACCCTCAATGTCCGACGAAGTCAAAACTATTATCGAGCCCGCTCTATCCGCATACTTAGGTGCGATCTCAGCAGCTTTTCCTTTGTACCAATCACTAATGCTTGAATTCTCCGTAGCCACTAGCGTCTGCGCAACGTACGTGGATAATCTCCTGTCCGAGAATCGAACATCCCATCTCATCATGATCTGCTCTTTATCTATCTAGTCTAGTGGCCGTTACGATTGCACAGGGAACCTTCTATTATCGAAACTACGACGGAGATTCGAAGTTAATAAAGTATTTCGTAAGTTCTCGTCGATTGATTGGCATCCTAATTAGATTCACGTCCTGGTTTAGGTTCTCTCCATTGTGTAAGGAGCCCTTCTCCTTCTACTACACCATGCATTCTCACATCCAGTGCCTATATAGTACATTAAGCATAGTGCAGGCTGGCGGTCTGTTTTACCACATATATTTCCAACTCATTACGTGCCGATTACCTCATAATTATAAAAAATGCAACGCCGGGATCTCCATGTCGGTGATATCTCTTCTCTTCGTTACGTTTTATTTCTAATCGTATATATGTCTACTAGCCCTATTGTTGTAAGGAATTATTTATTTAACACGGTAGAAAATCGATTAATATGATCCATCATGATTGATCCAGCTTCCGACCGCTATACACGTGAGTGGTCTCTTGATTTCCAAATACCGCAGGAAGCGACATCTGACTGTCTGCGTTTAAGTATGGTTTGACATTTCTGACGCAATGGTAGGCTCAGAAGAGCAATTTCGAGATTGTCTCTCAATGCACTGATATTTTTGTTAAAGCTTCTATACCCTTCGAGTATGGTTCGGTAAGTCGCATGGAAGAATTAGTTTGGATGTCTCTTAACGATATTATTTAGTCAGCGGTCACAGAACTTGGCTCGCTGGAATTATGGTAAGTATTTCCCTTCGTATAACCTTCCTTCACAAATATATTTTCTGCGACTAGATTCTTCTGTCAATCCTCCAATTAGGTTTGATCATCTTTTTAGTACTCGGGCTGTATGGAGAATTAATGGCGAAATTCTTAGGCACTGGTATCGGTCAGTATAACTTTGATGCAATTTCTGCATCATTATCATGTCTTTTGCTGAAACTACATTTTACGCTAGTTACAACGGCATACGTGTGAGTATTTGGCTCTTTTGGCTCTGATCCTGTAAAGAAAAATACTCAGATTTCCGCGGTCATAATAGCGCGATCATGGAGTCAATATCAAGCGATTATGCTAGGGAAACGCTTGTAGGCACTCTTTTACGTTCAGAGGAACGATTCTTACACCTCCTTCATTAGATCACTCAGGGTATCGCTTCCACGTCTACAATTCTATGCGACACTCTGATCTCGGGCTCATTGGTGTATTTTCTTCGTGAAAAGCCCTTGAATCGTTCGTAAGTGGTAAAATGTACAGGCTACTCTGTCACTTTAATCACTTGACCATAGAATGCGAATTGGTATCGGCAAAATAATTATATACTCCATTAATATTGGGCTGGTAACCGTGTAAGTCCTAATTCTTATATCGGTAAATTGGGAGATATATAATAGCCATTTCAGGGCTATAGCTACTATCTCCTTAATAACTGTAGGTTGCCATTTTCTGAAATTATTTTGGTATCGTATTGATAAATTATTTAGTGGCTCGCTGCACCTCATCCCCAACTTACTTGGGAAATTTTCTATTTTCCAGCTGCTCAGGGTAAGTCAACCGATTGCTGCTGGGATGCCCTTCCACTGACATCATTTAAAGTCTACGCGAATTCAGTACTCGTTTCGTAAGAACAAAAATAATTTAACGTTCAAGATTAGCTTCTGAGTGCAGCGACGTTTAAAGGTTGAATGCTCGGAAAGAGATCCACGCCCAGATGATTAAAAACTACTCTCGCCCTCAATCTTCCATGTTCCTGTCATTTAACGTTGATGGTAAGTCATTTACCCTACGATTCTTTAAAAAAGTAATGCCGTTATTCAATCTGAGTTATGAAAATCAGAGATATCATAAATATAGTGAACCCGTCATTGAGCAGCCTCTCAGCCCCCATAATACAGAATAATCCACATAGGCCACTTCGCCTGATGCACCCTAGAACCACTTCCCCTTCCTTTGGCAGAGATAAACTAGTATTTCCAGTTAACTAATTAGTATTTTAGATGATTTTTAAGCTACTTATCATGTCTCAATATTACTCTGTTTATGCATGAGAGCCTCGGGTACTGAATTCAACCATTTTTTTTTCAAACAAAATTTGTTGGCTATTAAGAGACACTAACTACAGCAAACTGTTGCCAGGTAGTGAAAACATAAGCCTGCAAATTTCTTAGTCTTAATTCGAAGTAGTTGACAAGATATTGCACGATGTTTTCACGGAATTATTTTCGCAGATATCACGTGACTGTGGGTGTCCGCCTTGCGTACTGAAAACAGCTGTAAACCATTAGATGGGCCTAATATTTCAAGATTTTTATTGATATATATATACTCTATTTTATTGAATATTATTCTGCCGCGTTAAACCAATGTGCCGATCTGGTCAGAGCCTGATCAGAACTGGATCAGCTATGGTCAGCTGTGTGACGATCTGATCAGGCTCTGATCAGGCTCTGATCAGAACTGGGTCCGCTATGGTCAGCTGTGCGACGATCTGATCAGGCTCTGACTCGAGTCTGACCATGCCTGACCATGCCCTCATCAGGCCAGCAGCCATGATCAGGCTTTTCGGATTTTTGCGACATAGTTAAGATGCCAGTCAATTAACGAGAACTTACAAAATACTTTATTAACTTCGTATCTCTGCCGTAGTACTGATAATAGAATGTCCCCTGCGCAACCGTAACGGTCACTAGACTAGATAGATAGAGAGACTCGGCTATGAGAAGTTCGACTTTCAGACAGAGGAGAAGATCCACGTATATCACGCCGACGCTGGGGGTTACGGAGAATTCAAGCTTAATTCATTAGTGATTAGCAGATAGGAAAGGCGATTGATCTCACACACAAGTATATGAAAAGAGCGGGCTCGATAGAGTTTTGACCTCGTCGGATATTGAGGGTGGCTTGATGTTGCAATTATTTCAGAGGTTAGTTCTCGAATCGCTGGTTTTAATATAGGTCTAAATGTATAAAAATATTGATCAATTGAGGTGAGCTCACCATGATGAAAATAAACTAGGCCACATCGCCATCGGAAGCTCTAACTTTAATCAAAACCTTAACAAACGACTTCACAAAATCTTCAAGGTAAATCTGGTCGACTGTCCGACTCATGAGATTCACGGGAGCGGGTCGTTTGCCAATTTTCAAGACTCAGATTAGCTACTGAAGAAGTCTCCCTGTCCTTAAATAAGGCTCAAGCTACAATCAGAAGTGAGTGGTGGTTCCACAGTAATAGATCACCTAGAAAAGATTATCAAGCAGCCATATACAGAGTGACAGTACATGCCAATCAATCAATATTTGAAACAAGCATGCTGATATCTGCGTTCTCACCTTCACGTCTACATATAATAATATTAATACGTTTCCAAGCATAACTGGGGAATGCATTGTCCACCAATTCATGTTCGTCTGGGCTGAATGGGAATAACGGGTCAGTTTCGGTTCAGTGAAAGAGTGTCGAAGCCACCCTTCCATCCAGCCAGTTTCTTACGGCTGCGTAAGGAGGCTGAAGACTACCGAGCGGAAGCACTGAAGGTGTGACATCGTAGGGTCACTCCTCCACCACCACTGATCCGGACCCGCCACCCGTTATATATATCGTCCGTGGCTTCCGAAATATACCTGGATGATATCCAATCGCAGTCACATTCCTACACGTCCTCGACGAGTTCGAGATCCTCGTCCTTCGTATTCCGCAACATGTCTACGCACGCCCTTTCCCAAATTCCCGCATCCTTCATACGTCCGTACCGATCGCTATAACAGCATATTTACTCGCTTCCATCCCGCTGATGCTACCTCCTGCGACCTTTCTCTACACCTTCGCCACCCCATCCTCCACACTATGCACCCTTTAATCCCATGTCTAACGATCTTGGCGGCCGTAACGAGAAGCTTTCTCGTTCTTTGCAGTTATAACAGCCGTCTCCAACGCGCTCGGGCTCAAATGCCAAGTTCGATCGGACCTTCGTTCTCTCCACAATACCACTCTCAACATACCCGACCTCCTGACCGTCTTCTCCCGCACACATCCTGACCATTGCCGAATCATACACCATACGCCAACTCTTGCCTCTTCTGCTTCTTCGGTGGGTATGTCTCTTATACGACGGAACGCAGAATGTTAACAAAGCTATGCCATTATAGGAGCACGGTTAGTGTGGCGAATTGGTGAGAGATCTAGTTGGAATAAGTGGGTAAGCGAGGGTTCAATCAGGGTTAACGAGGCGAAGGAAAGGAGGGACATGATGAAAATATCCGAGATGGGAAGTAGAGGATCAGAAGACACGTTTAGCCAGACGGGGTTTATTTTTCCTTGGTGAGTTCCATCAGCCATCCATCTCGATTAATGTCTCGATTAACCCAATCCTCGCACCAGTGACCTCACGACGAACTTCATGGAAAGTGTGTAACTTACTTGAAAGACGACTTTTCCGACGGTCTAGGGCGATATCACTTCAAATAGTCTTTACTTAGGTGCCGCATCACCATCAACAGTTAAAGCTTAAATACTTTAATAAATCAAAACATTTCGATAGGGCGTATCACCTAAGAGGGAAAACTAATTGCGTTATTAACGGTCTATTAGCTCAGTTGGTTAGGGCGTGGTACTAATAATGGAATGCCAAGGTCACGGGTTCGACCCCTGTATGGACCATTGAGGGCTTTTTTTATTATTTTGTTTCAATTTTACCATGAAAGCCTGAACTCTGAAGATCTGAAAACTGAATCGAAACAACTTTGTGGACTGTATTTTTGTGACATTCGAGAACTCCAGCCGTCAAGAGGACAACCGATAAAGTCTAGTTTTTTATACGACGGGGGGACTCAGAGAGGGTCAATCATGAGTCTCGTATAATTACTGCATATTAAAGATGGATAGCTAATGGGTATAAGTACATATGAATCGTATGAAAAGTAGAATATCACTAATTTACAATTATGTGGATTATCCTGTATTATGGTGCTGAGAGGCTGCTCAGTGACGAGTTCACTATATTTATGATATCTCTGATTTTCATAACTCAGATTGAATAACGGCATTAATTTTTTTAGAGTATCGTAGGGTAAATGACTTACCGTCAACGTTAAATGACATGAACATGGAAGAATGAGGGCGAGAGTAGCCTTTAATCATTTGGGCGCGGATCTCTTTTCGAGTATTCAACCTTTGAACGTAACTGCAATCAGAAGCTAATCTTGAACGTTAAATTGTTGTTCTTACGACACGAGTACTGAGTTCACGTAGACTTTAAATGATCTTAGTGGAAGGGCAGCCCAGCAGTAATCGGTCGACTTACTTGGAGCAACTGGATAAAAGAAAATTTCCCAAGTAAATTGGGAATGAGGTGCAGCGAGCCACTAAATAATTTATCAATACGATACCGTCATAATTTCGGAAAATGGCACCCTACAGTTATTAAAGAGATAGTAGTTACAGCGCTGTAATGTCTATTATATATCTCCCAATTTACTGATATAAGAATTAGGGCTTACACAGTTACCAACCCGATGTTAATGGAGTAAATGGTTATTTTGCCGATACCAATTCGCATTCTATGATCAAGTGATTAAAGTGACAGAGTGGCCTGTACATTTACAACTTACGAACGATTCAAGGGCTTTTCACGAAGAAAATACACCAATGAGCCCGAGATCAGAGCGTCGCATAGAATTGTGGATGTGAAAGCGACACCCTGAGTGATCTAATGGAGGTGTAAGAATCGTTCCTCTGAACGTGAAAGAGTGCCTACAAGCGTTTCACTAGCATAAACGCTTGATAGCGACCTCGTGATCATGCTATTATGACCGCGGAAATCTGAGTATTTTTCCTTACAGGATCAGAGCCAAAAGAGCCAAATACTCACATGTATGCGGTTGCAGCTAGTGTAAAAAGTAGTTTTAGTAAAAGACCTGATAATGATGCAGGAATTGCATCTAAGCTATACTGACCGATACCAGTGCCTAAGAATTTCGTCATTAATTTTCCATACAACCCGAGTACTAAAAAGATGATTAAACCTAATTGGAGGATTGACAAAACAATCTAGTCGCAGATAATAAATCTGTGAAGGAAGATTAAGGACGGAGGGAAATACTTACCATAATTCCAGCGAGCCAGGTTTTGTGACCGCTGACTGAATAATATCGTAGAGATAAGAGACATCCAAACCAACTCTTCCATGCGACTTACCAAACCATACTCGAAGGATATAGAAGCTTTAACAAAAATATTAGCGCATTGAGCGACAATCTCGAAATTGCTCTTCCGATTCCTACCATTGCGTCAGAAATGTCAAACCATACTTAAACGCAGACAGTCAGATGTCGCTTCCTGTGGGAATTGGAAATCAAGAGACCACTCACATGTATAATGCTCGAAGGCTGGATCAATCATGATGGATCATGTCAATCGATTTTTCAAGGTGTTAAATAAATAATTCCTTACAACAATACGGCTAGTAGACAGATATATGATTAGGAATAAAACATAACAAAGAGATGAGATGTTACCGACAGGAGGGTCCTGGCGTTAGATTTTTTATAATTATGAGGTAATCGGCACGTAATGAGTTCGAAATATATGTCGTAAAACAGATCGCCAACTTGCACTATGCTTAATATGCTGTATAGGCACTGTATGTGAGAATGCCATGAAATAGTAGAAGGAGAAGGGCTCCTTACACAATGGAGAGAACCTAAACCAGGACGTGAACCTAATTAGTATGCCAATCAACTGACGAGAACTTACGAAATACTTTATTAACTTCGAATCTCCGTTGTAGTTTCGATAATAAAAGGTTCCCTGTGCAATCGTAACGGCCACTAGACTAGATAGATAGAGGGCAGATCATGACGAGATAAGATGTTCGACTCTTGGACAGAGGAGATTATTCACGTACATCGCGGAGATGCTAGTGGCTATGAAGAATTCAAGCATCAGTGATTGGTACAAAGGAAAAGCTACTGAGATCGCACCTAAGTATACGGATAGAGCGGGCTCGATAAGAGTTTTAACTTCGTCGGACATTGAGGGTGGCTTGATGTTACCACTCTTGTAGATGGTAATTGAGACTACTCGAATCGCTGGTTTAATATAGGTCTAAATATTCATATGAGACCATAGAACAACAATTGAGGTGAGCTCACATGATGTAAAAGAGCCCGATCAGTGCCACCGGAAGCTCTAAGCAAAAACGGCTAACTGATCATCTCCGGAGTTCTGCCCTTCCCACGGTTCCCCATAATTCTCTTGGGGGAGGAATCTGGCGGTTTGTGCTGACATTAGGCCGGCGCAGATGTCCGGAGATGATCAGTTTGCCGCGATGGTGGCGTTGCTTCGGCGCTTTCGCTCGGCAGTCAACGCCACCATCGCGGCAAACTGATCATCTCCGGACATCTGCGCCGGCCTAATGTCAGCACAAACCGCCAGATTCCTCCCCCAAGAGAACCATCGTCCATGGCTAGCATGGCTTCCAAAGCATACTTATTTGAGCAATCGCGTCCATCATCATACGCGTCCTCCTCGACTTCGGAGTTCTTCGTTCTTCGACCACGTCTGCGCACGTGATTTCCCGTGGCATCTTTCTTCCATATATACGTTCACACTGGCCAAAATAACCCCAAATTTACTCTCTCCATCTCACCGGTGCGACACTGCGACAGAGATCTCCTTCGGCACCACTATGTACTATGCGCCCTTCGATGCCACGTTAACGACCTTGGCGGCCGCGTAGAAGGATAAAACGAGAAACGAGTTCGTTCTCTCTACAATACCGCTTTCAACATACCATACCTCCTGGCCCTCTCCTCCCACATCCTCACAACCTTGAACCATACACACTATCCAACAACTTTCTCTTTGCGTTGATCCTCTGGTCTCTCGCACACGACGGAACACCAAATATTAACCAAACTATGTTTTGGATTATAGGAGCACGGCGAAGTTGGTGAGAGATCAAACGGAATCGGTGAGGTGAACTGGGGTTCGATCAGGGTTAAAAAGGTGGAGGAAGGTTAGCTAGGAGCGATATGAAATATACGAGACGGGAAGCAGTGGATCAGGAGACATGTTTGGTGGGACGCGTTTTATTATGCCTTTGTGAGTTTCATCAGCCATCCATCAATTAATGTTTCAATTAATTCCATTATCCTCGCATTGGCGACCTCTCAAGGAACCTCATGAAAAACGCGTAACCGCCTTGAAAGATCGCTTTCGAACGCTCGAGGGCGAGGAGCATCATCGATTGCGAAATAATTCACGCGATACCACCACTTTTCAGCTCAATTAGGCGTCGCATTACCATATCTCTGGGAAATATCTGCAAAATATTTGCAAAATATCTGCACTATTGTACACGCCGCGACATTTCAGCACCGCCCAACAAGAATATTATTCGGAACGCACGGCAAGGCTTATAAATTAACTAGGATGTTTTGCATATTAGAAGAATTCCGGACAGGTGCATTTGAAACCCGAAGAGAATAACGAAACTTTACAAGTATTTTTATATGGTTGTGTTGATAGACCAGGATCTCTATGATAGCTATACAGCAGTGGAGTGAATGGCCCGAAAAGGTGCGGTAGATTTCTTAAGCCGACATCATGTTCTTTCTCATACTAGTAACTCTGATCTGACGAAGATATTATTTATTCTACCAGTGAAACACGGACCACATCAAAGCACATTCTTCCTTATTTCTGATTCCGACTACCGCCCCCGGGCCGAGTCTGTCTTCATACCTCTTTCACGAAGAACTACTTTATTGCAACTCGCTGAAAAAAACAGTGTTTCCTGGCTTGGAATTTATGGCTTTACTCGTACCCTTGAATATACGACCAGCTTCATTTTTGCCCACAGGATTTGACGACAGACAAGAGTGTCGAATATCGCTTTCGCTCTAACGATTTCACGGACCCGGGATCCAGGGCCATCACTGAAGTCGTTTCATTCTCACGACAAATAATTACAAGGCAGGCTATATATCTGTTGATCTTGTTTGGAATCATTAGCAACGAGCCCGATGATAACATCCAATTTATTTATGCATACTCGGAGAAGGTGCTCATTAGGCAATCTCCGAAAAAATATTATCCTCGCCAGGGACATCGTTTGAGGCACTGCCTAATGAACAAGCTCAGATAAATTTAAGGAATATTGGAGACGCAATGAAAACACTGGTCGGTACGTCCATTCACATATGAAGACGGCGCATTTGCTTCACGAGGAGCTGTCAACTTGAATCAATCGGTTTTCTGGATGGACGCAACATTCACCGTGGGCGATTCAAGTATGCATATGAAGTATATTATCTTGGACAATATTTACAAGCTATATATATATATTGTTATATATCTAGTTATAGTATGCGCCTATTTATACACTGTTTGAAACGCCCAAATGACTCCAGATGCAGTGTACAGTCGATTGGTACCATTGGAGATGGATCTGATGGCATCATTCTCACACAATCTCACTAGGGGACTTCCCCGGTAAGTCAAACACAGAGCCCCCAGCCACCTGAAGAGACATAGATACAAGTTTAATAAATAATGTAAGTATATTGGTTCCTAATGAACTATAATAAAAAATATATGCTTGAGCAGAAAGTGACTAAGTAGCTACTAGAATAAAGTATCTATAATTCAGGCGAAAA